ATACTGCAGTTGGCTATTTAATTTTGGTTTTCATTTTATGGTATCTACTGTTATGCAATTGTTTGTGGACTTTGTTCACTTCTCTGTTATATTAAATTTGTTAAATAAACTAAATATGTAATATAAAAAAAGTGGGTTTTTTCCTGCTTCATTGCTTTAGTGATATTATTACCCTCTGTGATCTTGTGTTACCAATGTTATTTTGACCATTATGTTAATACCTTTTTTGCATGCTTGTATAATTATTCAGCCATGTATTTTCTTTTGGCTATTAAGAAGTATCAGAAATGGCTCATTTTTCTTCTGAATATTAGGTCAATCCCCAATTTTATGCATTTAGATGGATCACTCTCTTGTTGACTCAGGAGTTCAATTTTACCGATAGCCTTCACATTTGGGACACTCTTTTAGGTGATCCAGAAGGTCCACAGGTACAATCTTGTTCTGATTTACCTTTTGTTTTAATGGAATGGCATGTAGCACTTTCACCGTATCCCACTTCTTTGATGACAATAATACTTCAGATTGGTTTTGAAGTTGTGAGGTTACTTGCAGGAGCAAAGAAGTTTTTGCTCATACTGATGTTGATTTTTCATTTGTGTTTTACTTTGCGGTTTTACTATTAATCAATCCACTTAAGAAGATCTTGATTGTTTAGGAAAGATGAAGATTATGGTCATATTATTGGAACAGTAAAACAAATGTTTTGTTCTCCCTTTTGTGCATGAGTGCTTGAGAGTGTACCTTATGTCGCTAGTTTTCATTGACTATTGCTCGCTACTTGAAATTCCTGTTGCTTCTCCAGCTGTATATAGAACTGATGATAGTATTCCAGGAAGTCTATGAGTTTGGGCAAAATGTTTCTTTGACTTACATGGAACTTAAGTTTAGCTTGGTGAGTTTTATAGAATTGTATAAGTTGTGGTTTTTGCACAATACATGTGGTTTTTGCTCATGTGTTGAGTTTCTTGATTTTTTTGCTGATGTTAATTGTTATTATTTATTGTCAGGCAATATGATTTTGGTGTTGTCTACCGAAGATTTTATATTGGTAATTCAAGTTTGGAAACTTAGAAATAGTTGAATATTTTAGTATATGTATATTTTGTGAATATTATGTAATTGTAAGTTTTGAAAAAGACTTATAAATAGTTGAATATTGTTTTATATTTTGTGAAGAATTTGTAATTGTAAGTTTGGATGTTGTAATACAATACAAGTTTGCAATACAATTGTTCAATTTGTGAGTTTGTTGTGAAAAATATGAAAACATCGTCCTAAATGTGATATATGTGATGTTGGAAAGCTATGAAATCTATATAGCGACATAAATATAGTCTGTTTGATATTGGAAAAATATGAAAAAATGGGTACAAATTATATTTGTATAGGGAAACCCAGAAAATAAATAATCTATTCCAAAAAAATTTCATTCATTTTACATCGATTATTAGTAAAAACTGATGTAAAAACTTTCAAAAAGGGACTTTTTACATTGGTTGGAGATAATAACCGATGTAAAAAGTCGCGTCACTGGGGACTTTTTACATCGGGTATTACTTCCAACCGATGTAAAAAACTGGATCAATTTTTTAAAAAAATGTGCATAATAATTGTTTCTTACATCGGTTCATATATTATAACCGATGTAAAAAAGGTACTTTTTACATCGGGTATTACTTCCAACCAATGTAAAAAACTGGATCAATTTTTTAAAAAATGTGCATAATAACAGGTTATTACATCGGTTCTGATATTATAACCGATGTAAAAAAGGGACTTTTTACATCGGTCCCAGAACCGATGTAAAAAGTCCCTGATTTACTATATCGCCTGACTTTACATCGGACCCAAAACCGATGTAAAAAGTCAATTTCACCCGATGTAAAAAGTCATTTCTGCACTAGTGGTTGTTGTTTGAATTAATCCATTTTCCATATATATAAATATTTTTGTCTTTTAAAAAAGTCATTTAGGTGAACACTAATGATTTTATATATTATAATTCATTGATGAAAAGTTAGGGTGGAATATTCATGGACACCAAGGCTTTCTAATAGTCTTCCTTTTAAGTAAATCAGTTGTTAACCTGATCCTTTACTAAAGAATATTTGTTATTATCCTCAACTAGGAATATGCACAAGCTAAAAGTTGGAGTTATATTTTAATTAAGAGTATTAGAGTTTGGCCTAACTCATATTTAAAAAACTTTCTTGTAAGGTGAGGTGCGTCACTATATATAAATTTTTTATAGACTCTATCTTTAACCAATGTGGGATTTGGAATCTTTCCAATACACCCTCTCACACCTAACACTCTTTTGGTCTTGTTGCATGGATATAAATGGTGGGTAACCCAAATTATTGATACACAAGACTTAGTTTTCCTTGCGCCCAACATTTTTTGGGCTTTGTGCACATATATAAATGGTGGGTGGCCCGAATCAATAAGCAAGTGATACCATGTTAGTATTTTGTATATTACATCCTTACAAAATTGATTTATAAGATGAGGTGTGTCACTCCATAAAAATATTTTGTAGGATTATATTTAACTAATGTGTGACTTCAAATCTTCCTAATAAAAATTTCTCTACCATTCATGCCTTTAACATCCACCAAGTAATTCCATGGAAATTACATAATAGATGGTTTAAGTACATCTCCATTGACCTTACTTTGGTTTACTCTCATATGCATGGGAAAATATATATATATATATATATATATATATATATATATATATATATATATATATATATATATATATATATATATATAAGTTGGCAAATCACGACCATTGTATCCAAGAGGTTGTTTGGTGGGACACTCTATCTTTTTTCACTATGAATGATTTGTTTGGAATCAATTGAAGTTTGACGATTTTTAATTTTTAGCCCCCCATTTTAAAAATCACCTTATGTGAAAGTGTTTTGAGTATTTTATCTATCATTTCATGTGGTTTGAGTGTTTTATTTATCATCTTATATGGTTTAAGTGTTTTTCCAACACCTTACTAAATGTTCATTTTTTGGATTGTATTAGAAAATTATAATATGATAGATAAAGTTATATTTGAAAACACGTTACATGTTCAATTTTAGACAAAAATTTGTATACCTGTTATTTGCATTTTGTTCTTTAATAGTGAGAACATGATTTAATGCTTTTAGTCTTTTAGCCTCCTTTTCCTTCACCTCTAATTTAGTTTACCAAGTAAATAATATGTTATGAAATGAACTAGTGGTGAAGAAAGGTAAATTGAAGAACTAGGAGTATTAAAATAAGTTCTAACAATTAAAGAGTAAAATATGGATATGAAGTTGATGAATTCTTGTTTAGCATTTAACGAGTGTGAATCATTTGGTCCCATGTATCATACGAATGGAAAGATTATTGGATTTATAAAAGATGTGACCCATATATCTAATGTTGTCTTACGATTTTGAGTCAAGAAGTGTCACCCCCTCTTGTGTGATCTAGAGCATTAATTATGTTGTTGCTTCTACATTCGCTGGAATCCCCAAAAAGTAGTATCAATATTTTTTGTTCGATTTAGGAATATTAGTTCTTAGTATGTCATCTGGTTGCAACTTTGTATGATCTTCCATATTAGAAAAGAAAGACAGTATTTTGAAAGCGTTATTGAGTTGCAATTACAACTTTTGTTGTGAAGGTTAGGCTAGAGAAAATTGATAATAAAATTGTTTTTGTCTTGTGGAAAATTTAAATCAATGATATTTTGATACAACTAAGTTTACACAAGATTTTAATTATTACATATAAATCGATTGACATTAATTCCATGAGTGTTGTGAGATTATGTCGAGGATTGAAGAGTTTTTCTGTCAACGTTAAAGTTACATCATAAATTTTGACATGTAAAAATTCGTGTACTAGTTTATTTTAAAGTGAAGTACACTCTTTTAGTGGAATATGATAGTCATTTTTAAACTATGATTATCGGTAAAGACTATGTAATAGTTCTTGCCGTGGTGTAGCTTCAAGTGACTATGCTCTTTATGGAAGTATATGATAATTCTTAGAAATAGGATTGTTAGTGATGACAATGAAAAATTATGTATCATTTCAATTAAGATGGAGATTGTTGGTTTTGCTTAAAATGATATTTATTGAAGAAGTATCACATTGCCTAATATTGTAAAGGAAATGGGTGATCAAATTATAAATATATGTACTCTAGTGCTTCGTTATACGATGCAATAACCAGAAGTACTTTAAGCTTATATTTAATTTTTTTTATTATCTCTTGTACTCTTGTGTTAGGAAAACATATATATTTTACAGCATGAGAAAAACATATATATCTCTTGTACTCTTATGTTAGAAAAGCATACAATTTTGAATCAAGTGAGTTTTTATTTGAAGCATGAGGGTTATTGTTTTAGTAATTTATAGATTTGTCAAGAGAGAAAACTTAGATACAATTTTATAGGTGTAGTTCTTACTATTTTCTAAAGAATATGTGACAAGTGTATAATTTCTTCTTACACATATATACTTTTTTTCTTATTTTCACTCTTTAAAAGATATTTAAGCACACTTGTTATATTTAGATTAAAAAATAATAAAATCACATCTATAAAATTATACCTAAGTTTTCTCCTTTATCAAGTTATTATTACTAATAGACATATTACAAAACCCTAAACATTATATAAATAGGCTTATTCTAAATAATGTAAAATAAGGGAAAAATTAAGGAAGGAATAAAGATGCATGTATCTAAAATGCTTCTCTTGCACAACATTGAAAACAAAAGAAAATAAGAATTTTCCTTCTTCTCGCTTTCTTTTCATTCATTTAATCAAAGACATGCTTTTTGACTATGATGATAACTTTTAACATTTATGACACAAACAATATTAGAAGTTACTTTAACAACGTTTATTATAAAATTGGTTACACATTTATTATAACAACTTTTTAAACAAGTTTTAGGGATACAAATTTTATTTATGATTATGATTCATCCCGATTTTAACTCATTGCCTTTTTAATTGCCGCTGCCAATCCATCATAGGCTACTTCCCAAGCAATGCTCAGTTCTTCACTCCATTTGTCTTCCGATGCTTCCTTTATTGTTTTTAATAGAGCTTCTTTAACCACCTACAAGGCACCAAAATCATTATATTATATTTATAAATTTAATCCTTATTAATTAAGGGAACCCAATCAAATATAAATTTAAATATATTTTTCGTCAGTGAAAATATACTTTTAACTATTAGTGTTTGTTATATGTTATTCATTTTGAACCTTTGCTATCTCTTGTACCCAAATTTGTGAAAATAGATTCTTTAATTACATTACTAATTTGAAGGAATAAGTCATATTTTATCATATGATAGTTTTAAAAAAAATTGATTTTACATAATTTTATTTAATTATAAGTAACTATTAGACAATAATTTTTTTAAATGAATTTATTAAAATTTTGTTATATATTATATTATACCACAAAATGAGGATCAACAACTCCCTTTTGAATGTGAATAGCACCCAATGAACCATTTTTCAAAACTACTTCTCCAGTCGCTTGTAGTTGAATTGCAGAATCACGCACCTATAATACAAAAGTATTAATATTTAAGATTGTATTTAAATTAGTAAAAACTATTAAAAAATAGATATAGAATTTGATTAATTTTTATTGCTAGAATGCATTATATATTATCAAAAAGGAAAAAAATAATTTAACTTTTTTAATTATAAAAAAAATAGGAGTATGATGATTTAAGAATTTAAATACAAAGTATTTTCTTTGAAACAAGACTTCATAATTTTTAAATTTTAAAGTATTCTGGTTGCTAATTGAAGAATAATTTTTTAATTGATGTTAGATTACACTCACCATTCCAAAAACTTGTTCAGCATGAGCTTGAAGTTTAGGACTATCAACTACTCCAGCCGAGTCTTTAAGAAAAGAGAACATGCCCTTTGCTGCAGGTGCTTTCTCTAAAATACTATTTTAACCAGAAATTCAAAGTATTATTGTTAATTTACGCCATCTTTATAAAACAAAAAATAACAAAAAGGAAAAATGAAAGTTAAAAATACTCAGAAGAATTTACATAGTGTAGAAGAAAACACTATAACTAGGGTTTTGTTTAAATGATTCCCATGAGCTATTCACTAAAGCCTCTTGCTGTTGAGTGAAACCCATTTTCTCTTCTATTTTTTTTCTTCTTTCTTTTCTTATTTGTATATGCAATGTAATAATTTTGTACACAATCCTTGTTTATATAGAGAACTTGGAGATGTAAAGTGATGTAATTAATTAATTGTAATTGTTTTTTCAACTAATATATTATCACGTGGAAATGACCATTGGCATTATTAAAAAGACAAGAATCTTTTTAAAAAGACAAGAATCTTTATAAAATTTAATCAAATAAATTTTCATTAATTTTAATAAGTTAATTTAATTAAGAAATCTAAACATTAAAATAAATATCATTTCATAATGAAGAATCTAGAGTAATGAGTGTCATAATGATCAAGAGATCAAGTAGAAAGAAAGAAATGAATCACTCACATAAATGTAATTGCACAGTTATATTGCATAATACATTAAATATTTTCATGATGGCATGTGTTGAGTATTGTTTTTAACTATCTATCTAAGTTTGGAGGATATTACTAAATTATCTAATATACCCTTTCAATCAAATACTATTTACACTAAAATTTACCTATTTTTCTAATTGATTAATATAATTTGATTGACCAATTCTAACAAGTTATTTTGGCAGTTGGCTGCATTTTTTCAAGTTCTCAGGCACAACCCTTTTACCCGAGTTTTGTTTCAATATCTCATTTCAAATGAAAAGGCCATTACTCTCATTGTTCAAAATAACATCCTCTCTTTTCTATTTATCTTGTATGATCTTCATTTCTTCGTCGTTTTCTACAGTTTCATATTTAAGATTCATCCTTCAGGTACTCTCATCTTTTCATGGATTCTGTGTTCACCGTAAACTGTTGTTTTGAAAAAGATCTTATTAGTATTTCCTTCAAATTGTTTTTCTTTTTCTGTTGTTTTTTCTGTGCGGTTTTCATATTGATTTCCTGATATTTCACTTTTATGTTCATTATTTTCTATTCAAAATCATTTTTTGGGTGAGATTTTCATGTTGATTTCCTGCTTTTTTTCTGCTTGTATATGAATTTTTTTTACTTAGATTCAATTTAAGTTTAGATTTTGGGTTTTTCCTTTCTTTTTCTTCACATAATTGTAAGAATCACATGTTTCATATACTGTTTCTATTAACTTTGAAATCATTTTTGTCAAATATTTAACCTAATCTAATAGTGGATTTGTGACGTATTTTGAATTTATGGCTTTTGTTGGCTTTATTTTAATTTTGCATGTGTTTCTCTAATGAAATTAATAATCATTTTTGTTGAACTGAAAATATCGATGTTGGTTTTGAATGGTTTCCCATTGTAGCTTATATGGAGCAACAGTAAGTGGTTTACGTAGTCGCGGGTCGATTAGTCCCATAAGTGAGCTTATTTTTATCTATCTACATCTAACTTATGTGATGAATGAATGTTGATCCTTTTTGTTTTAACTAATTTTGTTAAATGTCTGGTAGTTCTTGTAGCGGTAGAAATGTTGAGACTAAGCCATTGGATTGACTCAACTCGCACAGATCAAAATAAAAATTGCCGCTGCACTTTATTGTTTCCAAAGGAATGGGAAAAGAGAGAATAACCTAAAAAGAGGGGGAGAGAATCTAAGTTCGAGGGTTGGTTATGCAAAGGGAAGTTATTAGCACCCTAAACATCTACGGTACTCCGCAGGAACTTCTTTGAAAATCTATGTATTTTTGCTATAAACGTTGTATAAAAAATGGATTGTGGAGATGAGAAAAATAAGTATTTTTTTTAATGATTTTTTGCATCTGCCGCAATTGCGAATCTTTAGTGCCTACGTACCACCTTCCGTGCAATAGGGGGTTAGGGTACGCGTAGTTCACCTTTAAAATTTTTTTTAAACACAAGAGTGTTGGTTTAATTTTGAGAGACAAGACATCTTCGTCTTATCCGAGTGGAAAACATACTTACTAACCACAATTATGAGAAATGATAATTTGCGTCATCTCAAAGTGGAGGATATAACTTAGATTTTAAAATCAACAAAGCCTCACTCAACATCCAAGTGGAAAATATCTCGCTTCATTATATATCGTAGAAGTATAGTACTTCGCATCACTACAAGGATTGACAAGAGTCTAATCTTTTGAGAAAATTTTAAAGTAAAAAGCCAAAGTGGCAAAATGGTTTGAATGAGATTGATTAACTTTTAGTCTTATCACAAAAATTTCAAGGTATTATTAAGTTGATTAAAGTTTGATTAAGAAAATATTTTGAAAATACATGGACATAAGTCCAAGTTTATTATGAAAGAGGTTCAAGTTTAAAAACAAGAAGACTTTTCAAAAGGAGGGAGAAGATTTTGAAATTAAAGAAGATGGAAGGAGATGAAGGGACTATCCTAAGGCATAAAGTAAAAGCTAGGGGAAAAGAATCGTCTAACCCACAAGAAGTCAACACTTGACATAATGAGGCAATGTAGAATTCTCATCCTTTGGATTCAAACCAAGCAAGCAAAGATATTAAACCTCTTAAGAAACCAAGCTTCAATTGCATTAAGTCTTCACAAAAATTGGGCAGAGTAACAGTTGTATAAAGATGAATTCCAGATCACAGACAAAACATGTAATCACAAAAACCTGCATACAAAACAAAACAAACAACTCAATGTCTTGGGATAAACCCTAAGAACTCCATACAAAATAACAGTTGAGGTCACAAGGTCACAAGGTAGGTTAAGGTTTCTACTCCTAAGTCCAAGAAGTCCATAATCTCCATAATGCCAAGGATAGTAACCAAGTAGTCCAAGTAACATTAAAGTTTTTAGGGTTCAAGTTGATTATTAAGTATCTTCAAAAAAAGAAATGAAAAGCTCAAATGAGAAAAATAAAAATGACATAAAAGAAAAATGCGCAAATGAGCAAAGATGAAAATAGCATGAAATGTAAATGCTAAAATAAATGTACTTAAAGTAAAAGCATAAAATAAAGTCAATTGTTAGAAATTAGAGGTTAGTTGAATGGCCATCTTGAAACTTGCATTTGAAACTCATTAGAAGATTATTAAAATCAAAGCCTCTCAACAACAAGTTTCATTTTCTTTTTGTCAAGTACATCATCCATTCAATATTCTCAAGGCAATAATAAATGATCAATGACATTTAAGTGATTCACTTTGACCAAATTTTATGAAGATTCAGTAGAGGATTTATAAGACCAAAGCCTTCTAACAATGAATCTCAAAGTTATTGGATGAAAGGATTCAAATCAACATACTTGGGTTTACAAACATGGGTTTGGGCCATGAATGATCATTTCTCGAATCGAGAAAAAATTTTGCGCTATGTTAAGCAATCGTAAGTGGACTTATATAGACGTCGCACCTATTTTGAGGCCGGTCAATAGCAATTTATGTCTCTTATGCTTGAAGAGATGATATGTACATAATCCTCTAACAACATATAACACAATAAGAAGGGGATAAGATGATGAGGAATGGGAGAAGAATTAAACCATATTTGAACCCAAAAAATTAATCAAACTATTATTAAAATCATTCATCCGTTTTTATGGAGTTAGACTCAACACCATGGATCCAATGATGTTAATAAAGCTCATGATCAAAATATCATAGTTCAAGATCAGCCAGAATATATAAAAAAAAATTGTATTTAAAATAAAGAAATTTTTTTTTTTAAAATGATTATAAATGAAAATAAGAGGGGAAAATGAAAATTATATTCAAATCAACTAAGAAAAATCAAATGAGGCCATAAAAAAACAGAAATATACTCAAATATTTATATAAATTTTTTGGTAATTTTTTAAAGTTAGAAACTATTTTTAAACTAATTAAAATTTCTCAAATAAATGGAAAAAAGATCAAAAATAGTAGAAGTCAAAATAAAATTCTAAAAATATTCAGAAGGTCAAAACTAATGGAAATGATGTTGATGAATTTTTTAAGAATTTATATAGAAGTCGCACTTATTTTGAGACCGGTCAATAGCAATTTATGTCTCCTATGCTTGAAGAGATGATATGTACATCATCCTCTAACAACATATGACATAATAAGAAGAGGATACGATGAAGAGGAATGAGAGAAGAATTAAACCACATTTGAACAAAAAAAAATTAATCAAACTATTATTAAAATCATTCATCCATTTTTATGGAGTTAGACTCAACACCATGGATCCAATGATGTTAATAAATATCATGATCAAAATTTCATAGTTCAAGATCATTTAGAATATATAAAAATAATAATATTGTATTTAAAATAAAGAAAAACGTTTTTAAATGATTTTAAAATGAAAATAAGAGGGGAAAATGGCAATTATATTCAAATCAACCAAGAAAAATCAAATGAGGCCATAAAAAAATAAGAAATATACTCAAATATTTATATAAAAATTTTGGTAATTTTTTAAAGTCAAAAAATATTTTTAAACTAATTAAAATTGCTCAAATAAATGGAAAAAAGATAAAAAATAGTAGAAGTCAAAATAAAATTCTTTTAAAAATTCAGATGGTCAGAAATAATGGAAATGATGTTGATGAATTTTTTCAGAAGTTAAAAATGTTCAAAAGTATTTTTTAAGTAATTAAAAACAAACAAAACCAAAGAAAAATTATAAAAAATATCAAATCTAAAAATAAAATTCCGATGAAATAAAATTCAGAAAGAGAATATTTGAAAATATTTTTGTCAATTTTTTCATAATTTTTGAATCAGAAATGAATTTTCTATGATTTTTTGAAGTTTAAAACAATTTAAATATAAAAAACAGAAATAAAAAATAAAGTCAAAAAAATGTGGACCAATGGATGAGAGACAAAACGTGTTAGTAAGCTAATCCAATGGATCAACGCGTTGTGCATATCATGGTCTTTATTTGAATAAACACATGATCATTAATTAAATCAGGTTTTTTGAAAAATAAGCATGCCACGCTTTCATTGGTTGATGGATGACACGTTGGTTATCTTCAACCTCCAGCCAACGAAATCTGCAGGTTTCAAAAACTGTAAAATTAGAAGACGAGATTGGTACCATTCG